CTATTACGAGAACATTCCTTTCTTCTTTGTGACATAAGTCCTATCTTACATGGAATTTCCAGACAAAGTTGAAGGGTTATTCTTAAGGCACCCTAAAATTTTCCTTCATATGTACACTTACTGTCTATGCATTGGAAAACTTTCACTATGTATAATTCAGGAAGTAACTACAGAATTATCTATGGTCCACAGATATGGTCAGAATATTTGCAATAAAGTCTGTAAGAATCCATTGATTCTTTCAGGGTTATTATAAAAGTTCAGTTACATAGGTGTGTGAAAAGATAAAGCTCTTCTCTAGGGGCTATAACTCAACATGAAGCATGTCAATGAGCCATTGCATGTTCTCCTAATTTCAAAGATACTGTAGTCTCAGCTAATTTTGTTAAAACCTTTTCAGATAATCTTTCCCAGTCCGTGAACTGCCTTTTATCTTACTGATGTCTTTCAAAAAGTTTTAATTTTAATAAATTCCAACTTACCAATTTTTTTTCTTTCATGATTCATGCATTCTATATCCTAAGAAAATCTTTGCTAATCCCAAGATAGCAAATGTCTCCTATTTGTTGTTTTCCTGGAATTTCTAGATTTAGCTATTGTTTAGGTCTATCATCCATTTTAAAATCTAAATTTTACACTAAAATTATATGATACAAAAGTTGAGGTTCATTTCTCCTAAGAATACATACTCATTCCATTTGTTGAAAAGACTGTTTTCCTCTTGGAATTGCTTTAGTGCCTTTTTGTTTTGTTTTTAGAGTGTCACTTTTTTGCCCAGGCTGGAGTGCAATCACAGCTCACTGCAGCCTCAACCTCTCCAGGCTCAGGTGATCCTCCCATCTCAGTTTCCCAAATATGTGGGACTACAGGCACATACCACCACACACAGTTAATTGTGCCTTTGTCAAAAATCAACATATGCATGGGTACATTTTTGAATTCTATTCTGTCCATTGGTCCTTAATCTTACTTATAAAACATGCCCATTAGCAATAAATTTTCTCATGTTTTCTCTGAGTCTTCTCACTTTTTGAAGATGTTTGCTGAGTATCAAATTCTAGGTAAAAAGGCTATTTTTTTCAGCACTTTTAAGATGGCATGCCAAGGTCTCTAACTTGCTGTTTAAGAAAAGAAATATGTAGTTATTCTTACCTTGGCTTCTCTGCATGAATATACTTTTTTTTTTCTCCAGCTGCTTTGTTCTCTGGTTTTCAACAATTTCATTATGATGTACCTTGACAAGATTTTTTTTTGTGTTACCTTGTTTGTTGAATTTCTTGTGATCTGGGGTTTGTAGTTTTCATCAACTAAGACTTTTCAGCCATTATTATTATTTTTTTTTTACCATAATCTTATGAGTATTTTTTTTAAATTGTACTTTAGTTTCTGGGGTACATGTGCAGATCATGCAGGGTTGTTGCATAGGTACATACATTAGCCATTATTTCTTAATATACTATTTTTGTTTCCATGACTCCAACTTCTAGGACACGAAATACAAGTATATTAGAACAGCTGATATTATCCCATAGGTGTCTAAGACACTGTCCTATATTTTTTCTTTGTATTTTAGCATGCTTTTAAATTCACTGACTTTTAGTTCTATAGAGACCAACCTGCTATAATTTCATCTATTCCTTCTTATCTAGCTAGTGACCAAAGAGAACAAATAGCAGCAGTGAATTTTTTTAAAAAAAATAAATCTTACACATACTTAAAATAAAGGCATAAGGCTGGGCACAGTGGCTCACGCCTGTAATCCAAGCACTTTGAGAGGCTGAGGTGGGTGGATTGCCTGAGGTCAGGAGTTCGAGACCAGCCTGGCTAACATAGTGAAACCCTGTCTCTATGAAAAATACAAAAAAATTAGCCACGTGTGGTGGCATACACCTGTAGTCCCAGCTACTAGGGAGGCTGAGGCAGGAGAATCACCTCAACCCAGGAGAAGGAGGTTGCAGTGAGCCAAGACTGCGCCACTGCACTCCAACCTGGGCAACAGACTTGTCAAAAAACTTGAAGGTATAAATGCATAAACCACAAATAAAATATTTAAGGATTATTAATTTAGAAATGTGTAAGTAGCCTGGGTGCAGCTGCTCATGCCTATAACCCTAGCTCTGTGGGAGGCTGAGGCAGGAGGGGCACTTGAGGTCAGGAGTTCAGGACCATCTGGGCAACATAGTGAAACCGCTATAAACATTTTAGCCAGCCATGCTGGTGGATGCCTATAGTCCCAGCTACTCTGAAGGCTGAGGCAGGGGGATTTCTCAAGCCCAGAAGCTCAAAGTTACAGTGAGCTATGATCACGGCACTGGACTTCATCCAGGGAGATAGAGCAAGACCCTGTTTCTTAAATAATTTAAAAAATAAAGACATGTATAAGTTTTTTCAATATCTTCTTTATTATATCCATAAAATTATATGTAGCATTAGAAATGTTATTGAATATGACACCAACAATGTGCTATTGTATTTTTTAAATTTTGATTTCTTTTAAAGAAGGTGATAACAATCTGTGGAAAATGCTTTTACTGTATCATGCCAATATACTGCAAGAAGTATTTCAAAATAATATAAAAGTAATTCATACATTTAGATTAAGGTGAAGATCAAATGATCCAAAAATTTTTCTTCCTTAGTTTTTCACAGCAACTGCTAAAGTCCTTAAGCTGATTTTTCCAAGAAAATTATTCTAATAATTTTGAGTGTTCAATCCGTGCAATGGTCCAGTCAGGCTTTACTCCTTGTGTAAATTCCCTCTGAAACCTAGGAAAAACATTGCAAATAATGTAAATCTTACATCAGTCCAAATATGTCTTAAATAACTATGTAATTTGCAAGTGTATATTTAGAAATAGTTTTGGAAACAAGCCAATGGTTAATATTACATCAAAATCAAAACAAAAAAAACCTATAACCTACCAATTCAATCACAAAAAATATACCCACAAAATTAAAGTACATTCTCAAGTAATGTACGTATTTTTAATGGACTAATCTATATTCAACATCTGCCAGTTCCTAAGAGAAACTTGGATATCATTCTGTTTAAACACTAGCTGTAACACATGCCTAGTATTAAGAGAAATAAACTAGACTCTGGTGATGCAAACAGCACTTTAAATACATAAACGAGGATACAGGAATAGCTGTTTTTCAAATAGCACTGCTACCAATTTAGGAATAAACAGTGGAATTTAGTTTACATATATTAATCTTGAAAATAACAATGTTTATGAGGTACCCATAGTCTTAGTAAGAAACATCAGAAGAGAAAAAGTTTAACATTGATGACAATGCCCTTTAAAAATGATGTCTTAACAGATAATTCAGTGGATTTAAATTAAGTATTTAAATATGTAGAATATTTTGGGTAAGTACAAATAAAACAAAATAAAAAAAACACTTTTCTTTCAAGAAAAGTAAAAAAAAGAATAAGGATATTCTTTTTTACTTAAGTAAAATATACATTTTATTTCTTAGGTCATTTTTAGAGTTTGTTTTTTTAAAGCAGATTTGTATAACTGTGGCAACATAATCATTTTTTAAAATAAATGTTAAATTATATCTTCACTGACTTGCTCCAGCTGTTCACTGTTGTCGATTTTTTTTTTTTTTTTGAGATGGAGTCTCATTCTGTCACCAGGATGGAGTGCAGTGGTGCAATCTTGGCTGACTGAAATCTTCTCCTCCCAGATCCAAGCGATTCCCCTGCCTCAGCCTCCCAAGTAACTGGGACTACAGGCAGTCACCACCATGGCTGGCTAATTTTTTGTATTTTACTAGAGACAGGGTTTCACCATGTTGGCCAAGATGGTTTCGATCTCCTGACCTCATGATTCCTCTGCCTTGGCCTCCCAAAGTGCTGGGATTACAGGTGTGAGCCACCACACCTGGCCTATTCTAGATATAATTTGCATAAAAATACAACATAATGTCTGTTTTATATAACTTGCTAACTTCCTACTATACAATATGTCCTTAAGAGCAGTATCCCTTCAACTTTGTATCTGAACCTCTACCAGATCATGTGGGCACACAGATGATCAACAAATGTCTAGTGAATTGGTTCATGTACCAATGATCCCAATGATGGCAGATTTTATTTTCCAAAAATGGCCACAACCATATCTCTCCTCCCATGTGCTCTTCCATTATGTGGCCTTGCTGTTTTTTGGCCCCAAAAAATGAGGGAGTCTTTCTATACCCTTTAAACTACACAGATCCTTTGACTGCTGTGACAAGTAGACTATGGCAGAACTGATGTTCTAATTATGGGCATACCCCTTTACTGGTTTAGCAGCTTCCATTTTCTGCCTCTTTGAATCCAACCACCATGTAAAAGATATGACTAGTCTGAAACTACCACAAATCCAAGCCACAAAGAGAGGCCCTGGAGAATTCAGAGTCATGGAGAAGCCAAGGAGTACCAAGGTGCCACACATTGAGTTAAGAAGTCACTGTGGAAATGAATCCTCTAGCTCCTGCTACCTGTGTTGATGCCAGGTGAAGCAGAGAAAACCCCATAACTGAGCCTATCCAAAATTTCTGAGCAGTGAAATAGCAGGCAAAATCAATGGCTGTTTGAAGCCAATGAATCTGGGGATGATTTGTTATGCAGCAATAGATAGCTAAAACATCATTTAATTAAATTCAACAACATTACCTCTTTCTAATTTCTTAACTCTCCTGTTTCATATCCAGTGTGTCTTTCTGACCTTTTCTCTTCATAAATAACTTGTCAAATTTCAAATCCTTTCTTCCTAAAGTTCACTTAGTTTTCATACCTTCAAACTACCTTCCATTTTCTGAAGAAAGGAAACAATGAAATCTGATTAAACTTACTCATAGCTGGCATTAAGAAGTTGTTTAGTTTCCACATTCTGATTCCCCAACTTAACCTGGAATAAACTGGCTCCTCTTAAGGTTTCACTAGGGATGTTGGCACTGGTTAGATACCAAAAGCACATCAGGATGTTAACAAACTTCCTTCCTTAGGGAAAAAACACATACACACACACATACAAATACAAATCAAAACAATCTATCATCCATATATACAAAATGAAATCAGAAATTGGCAGTAGTTATACAGTTGTTACAGGTTAAATTTTGTGTTTATTCTGGTGTGACTTAAAATACTTGTATTGATACTAATTTGTTTTTAGAAAATTGTCTTAGGATTTATGACATACTTGCCCTCTTCTCACATCTGAGTAATAAAGCTACTACTTAACTGAGCACATACTTTATACTAAGTATACTACATGGATTATTTTCAATTAGTGGCATTTTATTTTTCTTTTTTTCTACACAGGGTCTCACTCTATCACCCAGGCTGGAGTGCAGTGGCATAGTATCAGCTCACTGCAACCTCTGCTTTCCAGGCTCAAGCAATCCTCCCACCTCAGTCTCCTGAATAGCTGGGACCACAGGCATGCACCATCACACCAGGCTATTTTTTTGTATTTTCAGTGGAAACTGGGTCTTGCCACATTGCCCAGGCTGGTCTTGAACTCTTGAACTCAAGCGATCCACCTGCCTCGGCCTCCCAAAGTACTGGGATTACAAGTGTGAGCCACTGCATCCGACCAGGCATTTTCTAAGATTATAATAATCTCATGAAAGATGTCTGTTGTCAAAAGAAAAATGAGGAGGAAAAAAATCATATTTTTTGCTGTTCAGTAACTACTTTAACCTCAACTGTGAGAAAGAGTAAAGGCTTCCTATTCTACCCTAATTCACCTTGCTGTGCCTGGTGATTCTGACAACCTCCTGATGCAAAAATTAGTTAGTGACCATGGTGCTGAGATGCAATCTGAAATATTAGGGAAGAAGAAAGTATTTATCACCATAAGATCTTTACAAATGTTTCAAAATAATGTGTGCATGAAAAATTTTACCATCACCAAGAGTCTTCTTCTTCTACCTTGGGAAGTGTATAAGCAGAGGTTACATTTCCTGTGTGGCTGGCACACAATACATATGCAAATAGAGTGATCCCTCGAAATTCATGGAGGATTGGTTTCAGGACCCCTGTGGATACCAAAATCCACAGATGCTTAAGTCCTTTATATAAAATGGTGTCGTATTTGCATAACACACATCCTCCAGTATACTTTAAATCATCTCTAGATTATTTATAGTACCTAATACAATGTAAATACTATGTAAATAGTTGTTATATTGTATTTAGAGAATAACGACAAGAACAAAATCTGTACATGATCAAGTACAGATGCAACTTTTTTTTTAATATTTTTTTTTTATCCAAGATTGTTTAAATCTATGGATGTGAAACCCCTGGATACAGAGGACCAACTCTGTATGTATCAGGAATAAATCAGTGAATTATCAGGAATGTTATAGGGAAAATGTATGCTGCAGACAAGAAGAACCAGATAACCACTAAACTTCCTCCCAACTTCTTCATTATTCTCAAATAGATCCAATTTGAGAGTTCTGCAGTTAATCTTTTCAAATCATCTTTAGCTGACAATATCTACTGTGCTTTTCTTTTACCCCTTATTCCTTCCATATAATGTCATTCCATATAATGTATTGAGTTTTAAAATACTCAATTGTTTCCTTCAAGTTAGGAAATCTGAAACACAAATATTTTCAGTTTGAGCTGTGGGAGCCACTCAGACTATTTTCAACAATGTAAGTGATCCTGTTCTCTACTGTGAATTAAATAGTAGCAGAAAAAATTTCTAGATAGAAAGGCTTAAGAAATGATTATCATATCTTAACTCTTTCAAAAGTAGGTCTTTAAAGAATGAATATAATATTTTCTTTGAAGTTGTATAAATATTTACTTGTCCTGACAAAACTCCACTATTTTGTGATTATCTACAATTTTAGCTTTCCGGACAATTATAGATCGTTGCAAGTTGACTATGCTCTGGCATTACCTTTCTCATCATAGTAAATGGAGATGTCTCCTGTTGATGTATATACAATTTCATCTATGTTGGCAGCAAGGGCATTTTTATGGTTGTCAGGTAGTGAAGTAACCTTTTCTTTCAATACATGTAGCACCTAAGTTTGAAAAAAGCAAGCCATTAGTTCATCGATTCAATTTTTGAAAACTTTCAAAAAGTGATCTTTATCATGGAATACATTTCTCCAAACCTGTTTTTAAATTTACTACCATATTTGCTCATCCTCAAAAGCAAGGCTGAAATGCATCTCATTATTCAACTAGGAAATTTCTAACAGAACATTCCACATAAGAGCAACTGAAAGACAACATGATTACTTACTTATGCCTTAAGTATCAAGAGTTATTCCATACTTTTATATGACCCAAAGTACCCATTAGAACAGATACACAGACTCTACTTTGGATGCTGGCACACACAATATTTTTATTTATTTTCCTTATAAATAAGGAAAATGTACATCATTCTACTGCAACAGAATACCATTTATTTTTAAAGCAAAATGTAAAATATACTTTACCTCTTTGGCCACAAGTTCTTCCAACAGATCAAATTTACACTGTGACAGCAACTTGGATACATGAGCAAAAGCCTTAAAAAAAATATTAAGGGAAGGGTGGGGATTATTATTTCAAAATACCATACCACGTTCATACTTAAATGGCTAAGTAAAATAAAGACTATTTTATAGTAACAGAGATAAACAATATCAAATATTAATTTATCAAAGCATGACTCCTTCAAGGTTGGTTAACTTTTCACATATGGCCTTTCCACATATATAGCAGTAAGTGACTTGAGCTTTAATTCTGAATCCACTCTCAGGCCTGCGAAATGATAGTGTGTGGTGTGCAATCTAGATGTCTCAATAAAAATCCTCCTTTCTATTTCCTTTTAAAATGATGAAGTAAACAATCATTTGGCAGTTCTATGACCTATCTCTTAATCGGGCATAGATAGCAGTTGGAAAGGAGAACAGTCTAGACTGTATTGGGAGTCTGGAAATCCGGGCTGTAGTCTGAATCTCAGTAAGGGAGATAACATAAGTTTGGAAAAGTGGGAGAAAAGGTAATTAGTTTATATAATCTAAAACAGTAGATCCTAGTTTTGAAGTATTAAATTCTATTTTCAAGGAGGTAAAAACTCAACTGCAATTCTCCCCATTACTAGCAATGAGAAATCAAACTGTGAATTAAGATCCTGTCTTCAGGGAACTTTCAGTCTACTTGGGGGAAAAGACAACTCAAGTTTAGGAATTCTGACAGGGATAAGAACAGGATGACTTGGGAGCATAAAGGAGAACCATCAAATCTAATCTGGGAGAATCAGAGAGGACTTCCTAAAGGAAGTAACATCTAAACTGAAATCTGAAATAAGCAGCAATCTAAGCTGCCAGGGGATGCACAGATATGTCAGATACGGCATGTCAGAGAATACTGCCTACTTGTTACAGGATGAATTGTGCTCTCCTTCCCCCTAAATTTATGTTGAAGCTCTAACCCCCAGAACCTTGGAATGTGACTATATTTGGAGATAAGACCTTAAATAGGTGTGATTAAGCTAAATGAGACCATCAGGGTGGGCCAAAATCCAATCTGACTGGCATCCTTATTAGAGGAGAAAATGTGGAGTAAGAGCCACCAGGAGCACACATGCATAGGGAGGATCATGCAAGGATACAGCGAGAAGACAGCCATCTATTAGCTGAGAGAGGTCTCAGGAGAAAACAACCCCTCCAACACTCTGATACTGAAATTTTGGTTGGTTGTTTTATATAAGCAACACGGCATACACACTGGCTGATGAATGGGGTAGAAATACTGCTAAATAGCAAGGAAGGAGGTGAAAGTAGCTAACAGCTGGAGGACAACTAGGATTGGAGTGACCCCCAAAATGCTGCACGCTCCTCTGTGTGTTCAGAGGAATCAAGTACTGAGGCTTGATTCCTGCCAATGGTGGGGAGGTGATTTCCATTCCTTACTGGAATATAAATGAACTGATACCATGTATTATGAGGTGGACCAGCTCATATATCGTCGGCAGGCATTGTAGAGAACAGTAGGATCAATACAACTTACCACTGCATGGACAAAAGATTTTGAGAACTGACATGAACAGAGGTTTATCCCTTAATTATGATGCTGAGTTATGCATCTTAATTAAGCTTGCTCTTTGACTTTTTTTTAATATAAGATATATAGTAGTCAAGAGTTAACTCAAGAGAAGCAGGCAGCAGGAGTTAACACTGACACTTATTACACAAAGTTGACAACATTTGATTTACAACTGATAGGTCACATAAATACAAAGAGCCATGATTATGGAAAGAATCTGAAATAAATTTGGAGTAACACATCAATACCAGCATATAACCAATATTGTAAAATGATTACACCAATGGCATGGTTTTAAGGCATATGGTTTTAAACCGGGAAATAAACTTTAGGACTTCTAGTTTTGTTTGTTTTCTGAGACAGAGTCTTGCTCCGTCACCCAGGTTGGATGGTGTGTATCTGTCACCCAGGCTGGATGGAGTGTAGTGACATGATCCCGGCTCACTGCAACTTCTGCCTCCAGGGTTCAAGCAATTCTCCTGCCTCAGCCTCCCGAGTAGCTGGGACTACAGGCACCCGCCACCACACCCAGATAATTTTTGTATTTTTAGTAGAGATGGGGTTTCACCATATTGGCCAGGCTGGTCTCAAACTCCTGACCTTGTGATCCACCGGCCTCAGCCTCCCAAAGTGCTGGGATTACAGGCATGAGCCACCGCGCCCAGCCAACCTCTATTGTTATCAAAAGTTCTGCAACGTTTGGGAACGATATACAATCTGTAAAGGAGTCCAAAGAAAGGTATAGATGGCCCTTAGTCCTAGAAAAAAAGCATGTACCCACAAAATCTACAAATAATCTCAGGACCCAAGCGACCATATGTTGCAAGTGTAAGGCAATGCATAATCAGCCATTCAGAAAGAGAGGGATAACTAACAAAGGGATAAGAATCTCTAACAGCTAAATATTCTCTGTGCTGAGCACTTGGCCACCAGGCAGTCTCAGCAAATTCTTTGAAGGGGTAAAATTGCTAACCTCCAGTTTAATCTTTAAGGAATATGATAAGGGGTGGTACATTGGTGGGCTCTGTCAAATAGCTGGCAGGAAGTTCTACTCTTCTACTCCAGGTGACATTACAGCACTTAGGAAATGTTATCTCATCTATTCTTCAATCTTATGCATTCATTAATGTATTCAACAAACATTCATGGAGTGCCAGGCATTGTCTTGCCCACTTTGTAGATTTGATAATTATGCTCAGATAAGATGGGACCATATAGCTTTTTCTTTTTTTCTATTTTTTGAGACAGGGCCTGGCTGTCTACTAGGCTGGAGTGCAATGGCACGATCTTAGCTCACTACAACCTCCAACTCCTGGGCTCAAGAGATCCTCCCCCTTCAGCCTCCCGAGTAGCTGCGACTACAGGTGTGTACCACCAAACCTGGCCCAGAAGCTTAAAGTCAATCAATGGCTGGAAGGCTCTACGTCTGGGCCACTAATCACGTTCGATCGCTTGTATTCCACTGAAGAAACCTCACTGCTAAGCACTTCTGGGAGTAATAAACTCATTAGAGATGGATAAGTCAACCAGGGAAATAAACAAACCTGCTTCGCTCCCTCAGAGAACTCTGCGATGCTGAACTCTTTGTCGAAATAGGCCCAGATAAGGAAGGCGTAAATTCGAGTCCTAACCCAGCTAATGGGGTTGGCGAATCCCAGGACGATCATCTTGGTTTTCTGGTGCTGCTGGGACTTCTCCGTGCTGTAGCTGCGCCGAGAGCAGGCAGGGAAAGAAGCGAAGGCTATGGGGAGTCGCGGGCGGCTGAGCACTGGCCGCCAGAAGCCCTGGGCAGGTAGCACCGAGGCCGCCGAGGCCCAAGCGCTTCGGGGAAATGAGGCCGCTCCCGAGCCGAGGCGACAGCGGCAAAGGTAGCAAGGTCCGGCCGACGGCAGCCTCACCTCGGCCGCACGGGGAGTCCCGAGTCCGGCGGCCCCGCAGGGCAGCGACCGAGAGATCAGCAATTGGGGTAACAGACGAGCGGCCAGCGCCATTTTCGTGACCCTTCACCCCGGTGCCTCCGGGTGCTGTATCTAAAGGAAGTCGGTGGGAAACCACCTCAGTGATGTCGGAGAAGGAGACTGGAAAGCAAAGTTGGCCGGTTGCTGCCGCCTCTGGTGAGTCGGCCACGTTCCCGCTCTCCAGCACGCAGCCCAGGCCGAGGCTTTTCGGCAACCCTCTCGCGCTCGGACGCAGCCACTCTGGAGTCCGCCGGCCTTGCGGACCTATTCTCTGTGGGTCGTGTTTCCGGGCGGATGGCGCTGAGGAGCCCTTTAGAACCGAAGTTCCGAGGACTGAAAGAGGGCAGGCGTGAGCAACCATGGCCGGGCAGCACCTCCTAGTACCCCGGCTGGAGGGCGTTTCTCGGGAGCAGTTCATGCAGCACTACTACCCACAGGTGAGGCCCTCGTGCGGGGCGGAACCATGGGAAGCCAGCGAGAGATGCAGCTTTCCCATTAGTACTGCTCGGAACTGGTTTCTAGAGACCCAGGGTGTGGGAAAGAGGCGCATCACTGCAGCAGATGACTGGTTGGCCCTTAGGCCAAGCAAAGGACAGGTGCACCGGAGACGCCGACTGGCTCCTCTATTGAAATTTCCGGAGAAAGTCCAATGTTTGTAGGGAGCAAGATGATGGCGGAGAGCTGAGTGCGAGACGTATTTTGCCCAAGCTCTCTACTCAGCATCTGTCAGGCTACTCCGAATTAATGGATTTGGAGGCACAGCTTTTCACTCCATTGATCCAACAGGGAAAGCAATGGGATTCCCCAGGGAAACTCCTACTGGCCTTGAGTTCTAACTAACTTAGGTTCTAGTTCCAACATTGGAGTCTTTTATACCTGTTGTTAGAACTTCAGGTCTTTAAAAGAAAACTAATAAAGAAATATTAGGGAAACAAGAAGTGCTTTTACTTGCAGTGCTTTACAAGGGAGTCCAGACTCAAGAAAAACGGAAGATATTGAAAGAAAAAATCCACAATATTACAGTAAGTCTGTTTATGGTAAGAAAACAAAAACAAAACCTAGCAATTTTCTTACCTGATATTTGCATTTATAAGGGTGGTCACAGAACTACAGTTCTGGAGCCAGACGCGGTGTATCACTCCTGTAATCCCAGCACTTTGGGAGGTTGAGGCAGGCGGATCACCTGAGGTAAGGAGTTTGAGACCGGCCTGACAAACATGGAGAAACCTCGTCTATACTAAAAATACAGAATTAGCCGGGCGTGGTGGCGCATGCCTGTAATCCTAGCTACTCAGGAGGCTGAGGCAGGAGAATCTCTTGAGCCTGAGTGGCAGAGGTTGCTGTGAGCCCGAGATTGTGCCACTGCACTCCAGCCTGGGCAACAAGAATGAACTCCATCTCAAAACAAACAAACAAACAACAACAAAAAGAACACTACAGTTCTGAGTGTTACCAAAGTCAGGGATTAGGTGCAGTGGCTCACGCCTGTAAGCCTAACATTTTAGGAGGCCGAGGCGGGTGCATCCCTTGGAGTTCGAGACCAGCCTGGCCAATATGGCGAAACCCCGTCTCTACCAAAAAGACAAAAATTAGCCAGATGTGGTAGCACGCTCTGTTTCCCCAGCTACTCTGGGGGTTGAGGTCGGAGGATCTGCTTGAGCCCAGGAGGTCGAGGCTGCAGTGATCCATGATCCTGTCACTGCACTCCAGCATGCAGGAGAGGGAGAGACCCTCGCTCAAAAAAAAAAAAAAAAAAAAGAAAGAAAGAAAGAAAAAAAAAAGGCGAAGGTAGTGGGGCGTGGGAGGAATGAAGTTTTTCTTTTGAGAGAAACCTACGGGGTAGGATTCAAGCCTTTATTTGGAGACTTGTACTAGATGGGTTGTTCTTGTTCTCCCTGTCTCTAGACACCCCATCCCTCCCATCTCAGAATGTGCTAGTCGTAAGTAGCCTAAAAGGCAGTGTTGTGAAGATTAATGTATGTGGAAGTGCTTTATAAGATGCAGAGCAAAAGGTATTTTGTAATTTAATCTCTTCAGACAAGACATATATCACAAAGAAAGCATTATTACATTTAAAAAAGTTGAAAATTACAAACAACCTTCTCTTGCCATAGTGCAGTAAAACTAGAAATTAATAACAAAATTGGAAAAAAATGAGCTACCTTTCTATCTGGAAACATTAAAAAGCATGAGGGGGACATAGGCCTATGAGTTTTTTTGGTAAACATTTTCCCATAACTCCATCTGTATATTGTACAGGTACATGAATAGACCAGGGGAATAAAATAGAAAGTTCAGAAATTTCTATTCATATGGAAATTTAGTGTGTAATAAACATAACATTTCAAAAAGCCCTAGGGCAAAAAATGACTTTTTGAAAAATAGACTATTTTTTAGAGTCTTTTTAGGTTCATAGCACAATTGACCAAAGATACAGAGATTTCTCATATCCTTCCTGCCCTGACATGGATAGCCTCCTCCATGATCAACATCCCCTCATTAGAGTGGTGTATTTGTTACAATTGTTGAACCTACATTGACATATCATTTTCACCCAAAATTCACAGTGTACATTTAGGTCATACTATTGATATTTTACATGCCATAGGTTTGGGCAAATTTATAATAAAATGAATGCACCATTGTGGTATTACAGAGGAGTTTCACTACCCTAATGGTGCTGGAGAAATTGGATAGTCATTTAGAAAATGATAAAATTCTATTTATATCTCACACTGTACATAAGAATAAACTCCCAAGTGGATCAGAAAAATGTAAAGAAATGAAACTACACAAGTGCTAGAAGAAAATATGGGTAAATTCCTCTATAATCTAGGTCAATGGAAGGCATTTCTACCTATGACTCAAAATTCAGGTGTAATAATGGATTAAAATTTGACTACATGAAACATTTGTATGCCAGAAACACGGTAAGCAAATTTGAAAGACAAATACAAACTAGGAGAAAATAGTTGCAACATATATCTCATATAAAGGTCAGTAAAAGTCCTTGTATGGAAAGAACTTTTAAAACAGGTAAGGTGCAGGCATGGTTGCTCAAGCCTGTAATCCCAGCACTTTGGGAGGCCCAGGTGGGCGGATCACGAGGTCAGGAGTTTGAGACCAGCTTGACCAACATGTGAAACCCCGTCTCTACTAAAAATACAAAAATTAGCCAGGCGTGGTGGCAGGCGCCTGTAGTCCCAGCTACTCAGGAGGCTGAGGCAGAAGAATCGCTTGAACCTGGGAGGCCGAGGTTGCAGTGAGCCAAGATTGGGCCCCTCACTCCAGCCTGGGCAACAGAGCAAGACTCTGTTTCAAAATAAAAAAAGGAGTGAGGTGGGTGTTAAAATGCTGAAAATCTAGTAGAAAAATGAACAAATGATTGAGGGGAGAAAAAGCAACATTAAAATGGCCTTTAAACTAGGATGTTTAAGTTTACTCATAGGAGAAATAAAGCTACAATGAGATACAACTTCTTCCCTATCATATTGGCAAAAATTTAAAAAGTTCTGGTAATACTCTTTTGGTGAGGCTGTGAAGAAACTGGCACTGTCAAATTTTATACCAAATGGTACAACTCTTTTGGCATATCTATGCGCGTTTACTTATGACCCAGTAATTCCTCATTTAGGAATTTATTCTGAAGATACACCTTCAAAAATGTGAAAATATTTACATAGTGTTACTGTATTTGCAAATTATTAGAAATAACCTAAATGCCTATGCAGATGAGAATAACTGAATAAATTATGGCCCATTTACACTGAGGCATACTAAGATGTAAACAAGAATAAAGGTTATTTCTAGGATATATTTATGAATTTTTTAAAAAGCAAATTACAAAATATATAGTAAGTTATTTGTAAAAAAAGGAAGAGAGAAGGAAATACATGTTTTGATCACTTTGCAGAAAAGAAATACTGGAATGATAAGCCAAAAATTACAGAGAATCGGTTATGCATAGGGATGTGTGAGTATGAGATGGAAGAATATGGATGGGGTGACTTTTGTATAGTTTTGATTTGGGGAATCAGACTAATGTTTTACATGCTAAAGTCATAATAAAATCAACAAGGATAAAAAATTATTTTTTAAAAACCTGTAATATAGAATATCAAATGTAACACATGAACCTATTTAAATGGGAGAGAGAGAAGTTACCCATGTCACTTTTTTAAAACCCAGTACTTTAATTATATGTCCCCAATCTAAGACAAAAAGAACTAAAAGCAAACTGAATTCTAGTTAGTACAGTAAGTCCTCATTTAATGTTCTCTGTAAGTTCTTGGAAGCTGCAACTTTAAGGGAAATGGCCTATAATGAAACCAGTTTTTAACCACAGGCCAGTTAATATAAAGAAGAGTTAAGTTACAGTGGCATATTTATGGCCATAAAAACATCACCAGACTTGTAAATAAAGACCCAAAATATTTCTAATCTTAAACATTGAAATAAATATGAGCTACATATACATTTAAGAAAGATGAATAAAAACAAATAATTACTCAATTTTTGGTGAATTGTTGTCTAAAAGTGGTGGGTTAAATCAAGGAATAAATGTTTACAAATGGAAAATTGTAAGGAGCGCCTCCTACCACTGAACAGTTCAAAAACAAGTGTAGCAGGTTCACTGAGTGCTTTCATACTGCCTTGTTTATTGTGCACCTGTATGATCATTATATGCTTTACAAATTTTTGTTTTACATACTTTGTATCCACTCCTTCCTTCATTTTCCAACTTGCTCATTCCAGTTCAGCATCACAGGTGGCCGGAGTCTATCCTGGCAGCTCAGGCACAAGGTAGGAACCAACTCTGGACAGGATACCATCCCATCTCAGGGCGCACTCACACACACATGCACACACACACGTACTCATTCATACTAGGACTATTTAGACATGCCAGTGAACCTGCACATCTTTGGGATGTGGGAGGAAACCAGAGTGCCCGGGAAGACCCACAGACATGTGAGGAGAATGGAAGAACCACTCAGACACTGGCCCTGGCTAGGAATTGATCTTTTTTTCTCATCTGTGTTATAACTTAATTTGAGGACCTGCTGTAGACACGTTTTTTACAGTGGTGTGACCTAACAGTGGCAAAAGCAAATTCTGTGAATTCTTTACTTCCTGTGAATTCTGGGATTTTGCAAGTGATCAAACATTGAGGAGGATGGGAACTAGGTTTCTCACTGTTGAAAATGGGAATTACAAATTCAGTAGACTATAATGAACTTGAAATGTTTATGGTTCATACATCTATTAGGTGTATGTGTGTGTGCATGTATTATATATATGGATATATATGGAGAGAGAGCTGAATAGAATAGGTATATGAATTGTGGGGTATACATAGATCCTCACATGTATCCTAGTTCTGTCCACTGTGAAGAAACCAGAGCTACTTTAAGAAATGACCGATCACAGGGCTGGGCAGAAAAAGTATAAAAGACGTCAGATTGTGTTATTTTGCCATAAAGTAAGGAAGGGCCCAGGTTAAAAAATCACAAGAAGCATTTTGAAGGGGCTTACTGGCCAAATCTGGGATAATTTGGGCATCAAAATTATACCACTAGATTATTACCCAGTGAATAAAATAGTTCAATGGAAAAGTTAGAGCTTATTTTGATATTAGGATGCCAGCTAATAAATGTAGAAGAAATGATGGAGTTTAGAAAAATCACTGTTTTTTGTACTCATCATAGCAAAACATCGTGTGCCCCCTGATGTGGCATGCTGAGAAGGCAGCACCATTTCTTTTGTGGCACATTCCTTTTCCAAAATGTGTAACTTGAGTCTAATTATGAAGAAACTTCAGATAAACCCCATTTGAAGAGTTTTCTACAAAATAGCTGACCTGTACTCTTCCAAAATATCAGGGTCATAGAAGATAAAGAGGCTGACAATTAAACATTTCAGATTAAAAGAGATATTGCAACTAAATGCAATGTGGCATCTTAGACTGAATTCTGGGCTAGGAAAAAAAATAACACTAAAGGCAATTATTGGAACAATTAGAAAAATTTGAATATGGATTGTAGATTAGATAGTAGCATTATGTCAATGTTTTGTTTTTGTGTGTCTGTTGGAGTTTCACTCTCACCCAAGCTGGAGTGCAATGGCTCAATCTCAGCTCACTGCAACCTCCGCCTCTTGGGTTCGAACAATTCTTCCACTTTAGCCTCCGAAGTAGCTGGGATTACAGACATGCACCACCGTGCCCAGCTAATCTTTTTTTCTTTGGTATTTTTGGTAAAGATGGGGTTTCACCATGTTGCCCAGGCTGGTCTCAAACTCCTGACCTCAAGTAATCTGCCTGCCTCAGCCTCCTAAATTGTTGGGATTACAGGCATGAGCCACTGCACCCAGCCTACGTCAATGTTAAATATAATTTTGGTAATTATTCTGTGGTTATATAAGAGAATGTCTTTGTTCTCAGAAAATATACTTAAGTTTTTAGAGATAAAGGAGCATGGTGTCAGAAATTAAACAAATGGGCTCAAAAATTAAATTATGTTTAATTTAATTTCAATTAATATCTCCTCTTGACAGTAAGAACAAATTATAAAGCAAATGTGCAAAATGTTAAATTAACAATTGGTGAATTGGTGTAAAGCATTTGTGGAAATTCTTTGTAGAATTTCTTAAAACTTTTTTGTAAGTTTGAAATGACATCAAAATTAAAAGTTACAAAAATATTTGACTATAAAGTACAAATTTTAGTCATTATCTATTGATGGTCTTGCAGTTTTATTTTGTTTTTCTAATCTTAAAATTTTGTTCTAGATATTTCACAAGGCTCCTTTTCTTGTTTTAGTGACAGCATGAACTGTCAAAAGCTTTGAGTTCGAGCATCTTCGTAGCAAGTGTCGATCTTGTATTTGTCTCCCTGTGGCCAAGTACAGCTCTTGATATGTTGTTGGTCTTCATGAATTTTGTTGTTGTATTTCTTTCCTCACTTACAGAGAAAACCTCTTGTGTTGGAAGGGATTGATTTGGGGCCATGTACAAGCAAATGGACGGTGGACTACCTAAGCCAAGTTGGAGGGAATAAAGAAGTAAAGATTCATGTTGCTGCAGTTGCACAGATGGACTTCATTAGTAAGAACTTTGTATATAGGTATTTTCTTCTGAGGTTTACTCTGGGGATACAAATAACTTTTTAAAAACTTTTAAAATATTTTCACATTATTATACAAAGACCATATGGCATTTCATCTTTTGGCTGGTTTGATATAATCATGGAATAGCTTACTGATTTTTAAAGAGTGGTTTTTAAAAGACAAGAATTCTGAGTTTACATAATTATACAATGACTTTTTTTTTTTGAGACAGAGTGTTACTCGGCCACCCAGGCTGGAGTGCAGGTGGGTGATTTCGCCTCACTGCAACCTCCGTCTCCTATGTTCAAGTGATACTCCTGTTTCAGTCTCTTGAGTAGCTAGGATTACAGGCACATGCCACTATGCCCAGCTCACTTTTGTATTTTTAGTGGAGACAAAGTTTCACCATGTTGGCCAGTCTGGTCTCAAACTCTTGGCCTCGAGTGATCAACCTGTCTCGGCCTCCCAAAGTGCTGGGATTACAGGCATGAGCCACCATGCCTGGCCAACAATTTTTTAAAATAGGGTATATACCCAATACCTTCTGGAGAGATGGAAGGAAGAGCACATTTCTATAACTAGGGTTAGAGTACATGTGAAGTTGGATGTGCTGTGTTCATTCAATGCTTGATTAATTAATTGATCCTACCACATTAGTAACTGTTGTCTAGAACAGGAAATTCCAGAAGGCTCTTGTTTTCTTTTCCTGCCGTCTCCAGAAAACCACGACAAGCTATGTTTGATATAATCTTTCATCAACTTAGATAACTTTTAAACATCATACTTAATTTTCCCTTTTGATAAAATAGTCTTAAATACCTTTAATTTCTTTCATGATTGTCATTTTATGCTGTGGAATTTCTTAAGAGTAAATAAGAAATAGGCAAAAGCTGCTGACTGTCTTAAGATGAAAGTTTTAAATGCTGTCATCTTGCAGATTTCATTTGCTATTTATTCCCATGAGTTTCATTTAAATTGTTAAATTAAAAACAAACAGCTTTCAAACTCTGAGCATGTGATGTTCCCAGCAAATTCAGTCTATTGAAAAGCCATGTAGTTCACAAAACTTCAGTTTAGAGATGAGTTAAACAGAGCTTCTAATGTCTACAACCATTACTTTCTCATTAGTTTTCCAAGTTCATAGAGCAGCTGCCAAAGCATTGCTCAGTTTTTAATCCTTTGAATATTCACCATAATAGTTTTAGTTATTAATAGGCCATGAATTGAATTTAATTGCCCTAAGCTTTTCCAAGTGTAAGAACTTTTCATTTTTTATCAGATTAAAAATGCTGGAATGATGAGTGTTTTTCAGCCAGCAGTTAATGATGTTTATTTTCCAGGGAGTCCAATGCCATAACAAACGAGTATTGAAACTTCATCTTGAATTGCCTTGATGTTTTGTCATGTCTTTTAAACTTTTCAAAACTTGTTTTTGAAGCACATACATTATGTAACAGTTCCTATCGCAGCTTCCTCCAAGCCTTTCACTAGAGCTACTAAAAAGTTGCAAGATTATTTTTTTTAGTGCAAGAAAAAAAATAGGTTTAGTCATTTTTAGCATTTACCAGGCAGTAGGAAAGAAGGAATGCATCCAGGCCAGAGAGAGACTAGAAAGTAAGAAACCCTGCACACACATATTTATTATGATTATCACTTCAAATTGAGATTGCTATTATGCTTTATCAAACATTGGAAGATTGATACAGTAGCAAATATGAATTTTTACTTCTTCTTGGTAGCGCTCATTGTTCAGCGTTAGGAGAGTCTGAACAAAAGAACCTTGTGTGGTGAAAGGATATTGTTGGCATTCTTCTGATCGTAGATTGCTTTTAAAAAGATCATGTAAGGTTTGCCACATCTATCTGTCACATCCTGTAATTCCTGTCATCATCTTGCTCTTGTTGTACTCTCGTCAGTTCTGATCTTGATTTTATAAAGCAGCCTTTTCCAAATGGGGAACAAGACAGGGAAGGGCTTTCTTCTTTTTTAAAATGTTGATGACTACTTGCATGCTGCAAAAGGGTACATTATCATTGCTGTTAACCCCACCATCTGTCCTTTACTGAGCACTTATTATCAGTTACTGTGCCAAGCAATCTAGGTTATATTACTCATTTAAACTTTGGAACAATCTGTGAGGTAGATATTTTTAATAATAATTTCACAAATGAGGAAAGAGAGGTTTAAAAATATTAAGTAACTTCTCAGGATCATATAGCTTGAAATGATAGAATCCAAGGTGTTTACTCAAATTTCCCTGACTCCACAGAGTCTGTGATTAAACCTTTGACATTACCCTCCTTACTGGTGCTGCCAGTCCAGACAAATGGCACTTTAATAACCAGTGCCCTTCTTTTTGAAACATGGATAGATTTTTAAAAGTCAAACAACTTCCCAATTTATATATCTAATTTCTCCCCCATCTGGGCTTAGCAGAAGCTATGACAGGTACCACTACATAAGAGAGAAGGTTGCTGGTGCCACCCCAGTTCTGCTTATCTGGGCTGAGCTACTCTGTCTGCTTTTTCAGGTTCACTCTTCTGCTCTGTTTTTCTAAAGGTCTAAAGAGTACTTCTGTGTTTGCCCTAGTAAGAAAGCTAAGCCTGGGTAAATGCAACAATTACAGTAGTAGCTATGGTCCAGATAAGCTTCCCTACTGGCCCAGACCCTTCAAAGATGCTTTGAAGAAAGAAAGCACGAAGAAATGAAGGGTATATGGTGAGGTCACAGACGGGAAACATTGAGGAGGAGAATGTCAAGTAAATTTGTTGATATTAGTTAGTCAGACACTATTTATAGTCCAAGAAATCGTACTCTGCATTGGTCTGAGTAGTGGCAGACCCCTCTTTCCTCTCCTGCAATGCTCACTCTACATAATTACCAGAAGTGGCCTGAAGTTCAGATTGACATTCACAGCACCCACCAATCCATAACCTGGCATCAGATTCCCTTAGCTTTTTGCAGGAGGATATAAGGCAGAAAATGGCATTCTAGCAGGATAATATCAGTGGAGCCTTTATACAAATCCAGGGACTATTTTTTGACTCATAAGTTCCAGCTTAGTTGTAAGGGAATGAGACAATGGAGGTAGTATAGAAACACCTGAGCTTAAGTAAGGCCACAGAAACCAGAAGCTTGAAACACCCCATGAACTTAGCTTCTGCATTCTTCCAAGGGCCGTACTCAGGAGAGTTGCACTATACACAGGAAAGCCATATCCTCTACTTCTGAACAAGTATTTATGGTCCATTCATTCATAAGCCACATAGTGAGACATAATTCATCAACCAAATGTTATTTTTATAATAAACAGTGTTACCTGATGTCACAACTGACATTCAACATTTATCTTTAATTTTTTTTTAATTCAACATAATTCATGGGTTCACACCATGTTTGTTTTTACTTAGTATATTTCTGAGAAAACAGTGCAAGGAAAAAGTAAGCTGGCCCCAGGTCATCTTCTCATAGAGAAGGAGAAAGTGTTTAGCTAACCTTTCCTTTCCACTTTCTCAGTAGAGTTCAAGTGGGAAGATATTTAGTAGTAAGACTGAAAAGATTTCAGCTTTCAATCAGAAGTTTGGAGGCAGGAGTGCAGTGCAGGGAGCAGAGGAGAGGCTTTTGACCTAGAGGACTTCATTGTCTTGTTACCTACACAGTATCATCTTCATTTATAGGGCAGTACTTTTGATTCTAGAAAGTGAAGAGATAGAAGCAATCTGGAGTAAAAATATCCTTCTAGCTCAAGAGTGTGACATAAAGAAAATAAACTTTGCTTCTACAGGATTCAGCCCTGTTCATCAGGTTGGAATGAGACAGGCATTTGGGCAGAAATTTTGAGGAATAAAAATTGGTCACTTCACTGGAATTCTCCTTGAGCTATTCCTCAGAAGCAAGGATGAGAGCAGTGTTACTGGCTTCTGTGTTCTGTGATAGTGCCAAAAGGCAGGAAGAATGGGGGGTGGCTATCTTCATGGGACCATTTGTGTATTGTCTCTTCCAAAGTAGCACGAGTAGTTTGCCGCACTCTTCATAAGATTTGTTTTGCCATGACACTTAAAAACAGGTAGCAATCAGAACCTGAAAGTCTGTGTATTTGCAATGGTAATCAGATACCATACGGACATTTTTCTGTCATAACTTGGAATAGTAGAATATTGACCTATAGAAGGATCCATTAGAACCATAGAGTTTTAAATCTTTAATTCCAAAATTTTAGACAATTTAGGTCAAGTAAGCATATTGCTCAATGAGTTTTGAAAAGTTAGAATTTCACATAATAGGTTACATAAAAATTACAGATAGTGTAAAACAGGAGTTTAGGGCCAGGCATGGTGGCTCAAGCCTGTAATCCCAGCACTTTGGGAGGCCGAGGCGGGTGGATCACGAGGTCAAGAGATTGAGACCATCCTGGTCAACAAGGTGAAACCCCATCTCTACTAAAAATACAAAAAATTAGCTGGGCATGGTGGTGTGTGCCTGTAATCCCAGTTACTCAGGAGGCTGAGGCAGGAGAATTGCCTGAACCCGGGAGGTGGAGGTTGCAGTGAGCGGAGATCGCACCATTGCCCTCCAGCCTGGATAACAAGAGTGAAACTCTGTCTCAAAACAAAACAAAACAAAACAAAACAAAAAAAACAGGAGATTATATCCAACTCCAACAAGCCTTTATGTGTAGTGATCACATTCTTACTAGTTGACCTGTTATTATTATTAAGCCTAAGGATTCTTCTATGTGTATTTCAGAACTTTACCTTTTGACCAGTTAGTCCAGAGAGCAGCTGAAAAGAAGCATAAAGAATTCTTTATTTCAGAGGTAATTGCTTTTAACATTTTAAAAAGAAGTCATTAATATCTGTATACTAAATGGGTTTTCTTATGAAAGGATACTAGATATACAAGAGCTATAGCCTTCTCTGATAGACATTCTTAAGATGTAGTTGGATGCACCATAGACTGTAGCTCTGCTATTTTTTAGCTCTCAAACTTTGGCCAAACGATTTTTCTGTACTACAGTATACTCATCTTTGAAATGGGGGTAATAATACTACCTATTTTATAAAGTGTTTGTGAGGATTAACTAAATAAAGTCAGTAAAATACTTAGCAGTATGCCTGATGTATAGAAATTACTCATTAAATGTTAGCTATTAATGTTACTTCCTTTTAAAATGCTTTGGTCTGATATGCCAACATCAAATGCTAATGGAGAACTTCATTTTCATGTCTATTGACTATTAGCCTTTTTCCATATTCTTGTTATCAATGTGATTTCTATGTGTGTATTTGCTGTAATATTTGTTCAGGATTAAATGCAGAAGAATTCTACTTAATTATAGTCTAGCTTTAAATAATTTAATTTAAATACCTTGAGTAAGACATTAAGGCCTTGTATATAAATATGTTTTTAAAAATTCACTGTGTTGGCCAGGTGTGGTGGCTCATGCTTGTAATCCCAGCACTTTGAGAGGCCGAGTCAGGCAGATCACCTGAGGTCAGGAGTTTTGAGACCAGCTTGACCAACATGGAAAAACCCCATCTCTACTAAAAACACAAGATTAGCCAGGCATGGTGGCGCATGCCTGTAATTCTAGCTACTCGGGAGGCTGGGGCAAGAGAATCACCTGAACCTGGGAGGCAGAGGTTGTGGTGAGCTGAGATCGCGCCATTGTATTCTAGCCTGGGCAGCAAGAGCAAAACTCCATCTCAAAAAAAAAAATCACTGTGTTACTCAAAAGCACATTTTAAAAACAAATTGCTTTTTAAGCTTTGAATAAAGCTGTTGTCTGCATTTGTGCCATTGCATTTTTACAGTTCTCTTGTCAGGTAATAGTTACACTAGATTACCACCACAATCCCCACAAACTCTGTAGGTCTGTGATTCTGTAGTATAACCAAAATATCTTTTAAAATTGATCCCATTAGTTGCACCTGAGAACTGTTTTCTCACTTTATAGCCATGCTTTGAACATGTATATTGAGTTGCCCTTGGGTACTTTTGTATCTAAAGGTAATGAGTGGTACAGATTTAAATAGCCATGAAATGTGAAGTAAAAGAAATAGACACATGGTAAAAGATTAAAGTCTAAAAATTATGGAAAGTATGTAAACAAGATCAACATGAACTGTCAGTTTGGTCCTCTAGGAAGCAGATGCTGGATGGAATTAGGAATGCAAAAGGCTTGTTAAATAGAAATACCTGTGAAAGGAAAGGCGAGGAAGCCATCAGATGTAGATACAGATCTGACAGTCTCTGCCAATTCATCCTGGAACTCCTGAGCAGACTGCCTGTGAGAAAAGTCCTGCATTGGGTGGCAGTGTCCAGGTCGTTTACCATCTTAAGTCACTGGTTGGGACTACCCCAAGAAGAACATGACCTGGGTTCCAATCCTGAGGTGGACCTAAAGAAGCTAACAGCTGGTAGCTCTAAGCAAATCACACTTCTTGCAGTTAAGCAGTGAGTTCTTTCTTGAAGGGATTTCTGAGAAGTGTACCTCTGTGTCTGCTGCATGAATTTTACTTTTTAAATCTTAGAACTAGTAGAAAACCCTCAGAATTTTGAAGAACATATTTTGAAAATCTGATGTGGTGGTAGGTAAAAATAGAAAAACAGTGAATCTGAGAGTTCAATTAAAACTTCAATCATCAGTTTATGTTTTAAGATAAATATGATCTTTTGAAGTTTGTGTTATAATGCTCAGTACTGGGTGAAAGAGGCAGAATTCGGAGTTTGGATTGCCTACGTGCTTGACTTGGTCTCACTTTTCTAACAGTTAATATTTTATAGTTCAAACAACTCTCTATTTAGGTACTTGGTGAAGTAAAAATAATAATTTTCGGCCTAGCATGGTGGCTCATGCATATAATCCCAGCACTCTGGGAGGCCAAGGCAGGAGGATCACTTGAGCCCAGGAGTTTGAGACCAACCTGGACAATATAGCTAGTCTCCTTCTCTACAAAGAGTAAAAAAAAAAAAAAAAAGTTAGCTGAAAGTCCCAGCTACTTGGAGGGCTGAGGCAGGGGGATTGCCTGAGCCCAGGAGGTTGAGGCTGTAGTGGGCATGATCGCATTACTGCACTCCAGCCTGGGTAACAGAATGAGACCCTGTCTGAAAACAATTTAAAAAATTTAAATATTAATTTTTTAAATGATCAATTTAAGTTTACTACATGAAATTATATATTTCTGATTCATACATGAGCTGAATCTTAAGCATTTGGCTTGAGAATTTATAGGCAGGGATAGGCTTACATTGATAAAATATAGTGTTCTAGATTTTAAAGATATATATTATTAAAAGCATAAGGTGTTTTGTTACTGTACATTTATATTTGCTAAGTATTAAAACACTTAAAATAAGTCTAAATAATTTGAAATATAAAGACTAACTCATTGTAGCTTTAGAGATGGTATGTATATATTGTCTTTAGAATTTATTTTACTTAATGTCTTAAGGATCCAGTCATTATTATGAGCAACATATTAAAGACATTTCTTCATATGGCCACCAGAGAGCATTAGTAGAAAGGGTAAGAGAATTAACTTTTTTTTTTTTCTTTCTTGAAACAAGGTCTTGCTCTGTCTTGTCACCCAAGCTGGAGTGCAGTGGCACTATCATAGCTCACTGCAGCCTCAGCCTCCCGAGTAGGTGGGACTACAGGCACGCACCACCATACCCAGCTAATTTTTTTGTAGTTGGTGTCTCACTCTGTTGCCCAGGCTGGTTCTGAGCTCTCGGACATAAGCAGTCTTCCTGCCCTAGCCTCCCAGAGTGCTAGGATTATACGTGTGACCCACCATGACCAGTGATAATTGAACTTTTTAGAAAACTACTTAACTGGGTCAGATTTTAAGATTTGTTTCCTAACTTCTTTACTTCGTAATATTTTTGAAATTAAGGTGTTTTATTTTTTTCCATAGTTCTGAGTACATAATTCTTTTTTTACTTTTAATTATTATGAATACATGATAGCTATACATATCTTAGCATTTTTACATTTAAAAAAGTAAAATATTGCTGATGTTATTTTTCTATGGGATGTTTAAGGATGAGAAATACTACTTACGATCACTTGGAGAAGATCCTAGAAAGGTAAGAAATCTGAAGGTAAACAATTGCTTAAAATCTAAATGGATGTCTATATGTTAACTGGCAACACTGTACCTTTTATACTTACTGCCTGACATATACCCTGTTTATCCTTTTTCATTCTTTTCTCAGTGATTTCTGCCTCTAAATAAGAGGTAAGATGATTAAAAATTGATTACTTTTTATTCAGGTAGGCCTTTAGAATCTTAGTGTTTATAGTCATCTAATCTCTATACAATAAGAAATCTCTTCTGTATATTTTATATAGGTGGTGACTCAGCTAATAAAATATTAATCCAAAAATAATTATTAGAATCCTGAATAGTTTACTGTATAAGTTTTGACATGTACTCAGAATCAAATCAGTATGGCTGCCATGCTAAGGAGTAGTCCCTAAAATGATCAAATGGGATTTTTTTCCCATTAATATGACCATTTAGTTGTTTACTCTCTCTTTTAAGCCCTCCCCTCAGTAGAATTCACAGATTTTATGTAGGTGATGACTAGTAATGTTAGTTGAGGGTGTTGACTCCCGAATATTAGAGTGGACAACAATTGTGTAATTCTTGCTTAAAGTAGGAAGAACCTTTCTATTAATGAAGTATATTGAGCTTAATGGTAGTGATACTATTAAATCTGCAATCTTGTTACACAGCCTGGTATGTCTTCATTTGAAAGATCATATATTGGGTAGGCGAGGTGGCTCACGCCTATAATCCCAGCACTTTGGGAGGCTGAGGTTGGTGGATCGCCTGAGGTCAGGAGTTGGAGACCAGCCTGTCCAACATGGTGAAACCCTATCTCTTCTAAAAATTAGCCAGATGTGGTGGCACAGGTATGTAATCCCAGCTACTTAGGAGGCTAAAGCAAGAGAATTGAGAATCACTTGAACTCGGGAGGCAGAGGTTGCAGTGAGCCAAGATGGTGCCACTGTACTCCACCCTGGGTGACAGAGCAAGACTCTGTCTAAAAAAAAAAAAAAAAAAAAAAAAAAGGAAGGAAGGAAGGGAGGAAGGGAGAAAGGTCATATAGTGGCACATGGTCACATCATAGTATTTTAAAGCAGTGAACAAAGTTTTGCCCCATTCTTCCTTAATATCATAGGGTCTAATTTAATTTTTTCTTTATATGTTTCTGTAAATACAGGATGTTGCAGATATCAGAAAGCAGTTTCCTTTGTTGGAAGGAGATATTAAGTTTCCAGAATTCTTCAAAGAGGAACAGTTCTTTTCCAGTGTTTTTCGAATTAGTTCACCAGGATTACAACTTTGGACTCATTATGATGTATGCTACATAAATGAGATATCTAAAGCTACAATAGATCTTTAGCATTATAGATTTAACAGTCACAGTTTTAACTTCCTATAGGCTACCCTAAAGATCTGTGTAATTTGCTGAAACATGACTTTTGAAAATAAGTACTCTGCATAGCAGTTATACAGGAGTGAATTATTTTGCTAATGGCAAAGCCTAGTTGATTCCTCACATTTGTATTGCTCTGTGGTCCTAATTCTTGATTCATCATCATATATATACCAAGTTTTATGAAGCGATTTTTTTTGCATGTGAAAAATGGCCATCAGATAAGGGGGGAGATTTTATTGAAAAAAGTGATAAGCTTGTAGTATGAGAAGGTGTAAATGATACACATGACTCTGGCCACCCAGAGATCCATAGCTCTCTCCAGAGTTACATTATTCAGGAAAATGGCAGAAGCTTGTTGAGTCATTAGCAATGATAAGATCTGAGGATATCTGAAGATCTTAGTATATATATGCCTTGAGAATGTCAAATATCTGCTATATTTGTAGGGCAGCAAAATGTGTGCAGTATTGATCTTGATTATTTATCGATGATGTTATTTTTTTTGCTTAAGTTTGTGTACACATCTATAAGCATTTTAAAAACATTAAAAATACTATTCTGGTATGTAGTTTGGTGTTGGGAAGTAGAGAAACTTGAGGAAGGTAGAGCAGTACCTGACAAGTTTCCAAAGAGAAAAAAAATTTTTTAAGTTCTAAATCACACTGTAATGTTTTTCTGTTTTTTTTTTTTTTGAGACGGAGTTTTGCTGTTGTTACCCAGACTGGAGTGCAATGGCACGATCTTGGCTCACCGCAACCTCTGCCTTCTGGGTTCAAGCAATTCTCCTGCCTCAGCCTCCCAAGTAGCTGGGACTACAGGCATGCACCACAATGTCCAGCTAATTTTTGTATTTTTAGTAGAGACAGGGTTTCACCTTGTTGACCAGGATGGTCTCGATCTCTTGACCTCGTGATCCACCTGCCTTGGCCTCCCAAAGTGCTGGGATTATAGGCGTGAGCCACCACGCCCAGCCTTATAATGTTTTACACATGTGTTTTATAATTCAGTTGAGAACTTCTTGGGAGGATTTTACCATAGTCAGTAAATTTGTAATTAAATGAAATAGACATAAACTCTTAGCATATTTTATAGTTTTATATTAATGACATAGTGAGAAAATCATGTGGTAATACATTGTAACTACATTCTATGATTATTATCATTATTACTGTTGTTGTTTTTGAGACAGAGTCTGCGCTATCACCCAGGCTGGAGTACAGTGGCACAATCGTAGCTCACTGCAACCGATCCCTCCCAGGTTCAAGCGATTCTTGTTTCTCAACCACCTGAGTAGCTAGGATCACAGACATGCACCAGCACACCCGGCTAATTTGTTGATGTAATTATAGTATCGATGGGGTTTTGCCATGTTGGCCAGGCTGGTCTTGAACTCCTGGCTTCAAGTGATCTATCCACCTCAACCTCCCAAAGTACTAGAATTACAGGTGTGAGCCACGCCTCTACGATTACGTTTTAAATTTTAAGTAGTATCCCTTTTACTTTGAATTATAATGGAATGGTGGGGCACAGAGGCTCATGCCTGTAATCCCAGCACTTTGGGAGCCTGAGGCGGGCGGATCACCTGAGGTCGGGAATTCGAGACCAGCCTGACTAACCTAGAGGAAACCTCATCTCTACTAAAAATACAAAATTAGCCAGGTCTCATTGCAGGCTCCTGTAATCCCAGCTACTTGGGAGGCTGAGGCAGGAGAATCGCTTGAACCCAGGAGGCAGAGGTTGCAGTGAGCTGAGATCATGCCATTGCACTCCAGCCTGGGCAACAAGAGCAAAACTCTGTCTCAAAAAGAGAAAAAAAAAGAATTATAATAGAATGTAATATATAAAGTATTTCTTATAAAATTAAGTCAGAGGAATGCTAGTTTGATTGTATAGTTATAGTATACATAAGTAAAAGGTTAGTACTAAAGGAAGAAAGCTTGGGTAGAAGTAAAAAGTCATGAATGCATCTTGCTTAGTATTTATCTTAAATCCTTAGATAATTCTCAGAATTATGTGGCTCTGCCTTTTACATTTTTCACAATCTTTACCAAGAAAGTGTACTATTGCATTCACAGGAAAAGTTAAGATTGCTCCAATAATAAATATATATTCAGAAAATCTGTCATAAATCACCATACTGTTTGCAGAAAAGAAAAAAAATCTGTGAAATTATATTCCTATAAAAATAATTTGAAAATCAAGGTTCCTATAATGAAATTATGGTTGAACATACATTAAGAGTTTAGCAGTAGTTGCAGCAGTACCTTGTATTTTCCTGGCATCTGATTTTTCTAAGTGCTTTTACTCTGTTGTCTAATACTGGGCTTATAGCATTCCTTAACAGATAGTAAGTATTAACCAAGGGGAGCCTTAAATAGGCTTAACTATGCTAACTGTCAGTTAGTGACAAGGGCAAATAGTTTTCTGACTTCCCATTTCCTAATTTGCCAAGCCTTCCCATTTTAGGGCAGTACTGCAGAAATATCTTTAAGGCCCAGTTGTATATGGAGTACAGACGTTTTTACTGTTAGGTGACTGTAATGACTGTGAGAGTCCTAAGTGAAGTAAGTCAAGTCTCATTAAAGGATCAGGTTTGCAGTTAAAATTTAGAATGCCATTGGTTCTATTTATTTGAATTTTAGATAATAATTACCCATAAGCTTTTATTGGTCTTCAGGTAATGGATAATTTCTTAATACAAGTGACAGGAAAAAAGCGTGTTGTACTCTTCAGTCCTCGAGATGCCCAGTATTTATATTTAAAAGGTAGGGTTTTTTTTAAAGTTTATATTTCTAAAGTCTATTCAGTTACTCTTTGAGAAATCACTTGATTCTTACAGGAAAAGAACACTTTAGGATGTCTTCCTAATTGTATTCTCCATTGTATTTGTGTATATATGTAATAACAGGTTCAAATTTTGAGATTATCTTAATTATATTACATGGGTATCAGTCATCAGAATTAAAGAGTGAGTCACTGAAAACTGTCTTAGATGTCAGTAGCATAGTAATTGTCACAGTGCGGGTATAGTAAGTAATTGTATAGAAAAGAATAAATTTTCAAATGTATATTTGTGATTACTTTTATTTAAATGCTAACTTTGTTGAATCTACATTATCCCTTTTTGGAATTTTTTAGGTACTAAATCAGAAGTACTGAATATAGATAACCCAGACTTGGCTAAATATCCACTTTTTTCCAAGGCTAGAAGATATGAATGTTCCCTTGAAGCTGGTGATGTATTATTCATTCCTGGTAAGATTTCTAGACCTCAGTAATGTGCTATTTATAAAATATATACTCTGTCACTCATCCTTCATGTGATTTTTTTTTTTAGTACAAACATATATTTGTTATATGTATCCTGTCCTATACAAGATGACTTTTATACAAAACTCGTGTGTGTGTGTGTGTGTGTGTGTGTGTGTGTGTGTGTGTTTAAAGCAGGCCTAGGCAAACTTATAAAGTTAACAGTCCTAGCACTTTGGGAGGCTGAGGTGGGAGGATTGCTTGAGGCCAAAAGTGCAAGACCAGCATGAGCAACATAGTGACACCCTGTCTCTATAAAAATAAATAAATAAGTTTAGTCAGGTATGGTGGTATGCATCTGTGAGTCCCAGCTACTTGGGAAGAAGAATCTCTTGGGCCCAGCAGATTGAGGTTGAAGAAGTTGAAGCCATGGCATCATGAAACCACTGTACTCCAGCCTGAGCAACAGAGCAACACTGTCTCTAAATAAATTAAATTAACAGTCTTGCTTTCAAGGGCAACCTGTAAAAATAATATTATACTCTATAAACTATTTTACTAAATGACATCAGATAAGACACTTTTTTAAATGTGTTTTTTGTTGTTGCGTTTTTTTAATTTTCCCAGTAAGATACTTAATATCTCAGAAAAGATTATACTGGTTGGTTTTTTAAATTATGTTTTAAAAATAATATTGTCCTCTTTTTTATTAAATGGCATCAAGTAAGATACTTTATATCTGGGAAAAGATTATATTGATTGGTTTTGTAAGTTATTTTTAAAATATTCATGTATTTTAGAATTGTGTCATGGCCAAAACAGATGAAAGGTTTCATTAAGTATTAAAATTTTATAATCTGAACACCTATGGTATCATTTGTGTATATGATTTTTCTATACAGTCTGGATTTGTGTCACTTAATTTCTTTGTTCAATTAATAGGCATTAGTTTGAAAGTCCATAAAGTTTTAATGTTAGTCACCACAGCAAGGTAATTAACATTATAATTAATACTTAAAAATGAACTCTTGGCCGGGTGCGGTGGCTCAAGCCTATAATCCCAGCACTTTAGGAGACCAAGGTGGGTGGATCACGAGGTCAAGAGATCGAGACCATCCTGGTCAACAAGGTGAAACCCTGTCTCTACTAAAAAGACAAAAATTAGCTGGGCATGGTGGCGCACACCTGTAGTCCCAGCTACTCGGGAGGCTGAGGTAGGAGAATTGCTTGAACTCAGGAGGCGGAGGTTGTGGTGAGCCGAGATCACGCCATTGCACTCCAGCCTGGGTAACAAGAGTGAAACTCCATCTCAAAAAAAAAAAAAATGAACTCTTGAAGATTATTAAAATCATAATTAAAATTAAAGGAATGTATTAAGTTCTATTCATAGTTGTAATTCCGTATCTAAATTAATATATTAAGAATCATTAATACTTCTTTTCATTGATAAAAATAAGCAAATATTAATAAAGATAGATATTTGATGATTTCATTTGGGACTAGATGATAAATTCCTTGAAGACAAAGAACCATGTTTTGTTCATCTTTGTCTTCCCCCAAAGAGCCTGATATATGTCTTTCATATAATTGATTATCTATAAAAATTTGATTGACTTTTTATTCTTATTTTCATTGAAAGCAACCAATGTATTAGTCTTCAAATCCAATGCCATCTTTTAAATTTACATTTTTGGGAACATGATTAAGATCTATGTGGTTTTCCTTTATTCTATATGCAATTGTTTTATGAAAAAAGAAAAAAAAACAGAAATATTGAATATTTGCATATATTTTTAAACAAAAGCAAAATTCCTATCTTTGGGTTTAAATTCAACAGAATGCTTAGCATTTTCTTCCTATTATATTGAATAAAGGAGAAAAGATTGTGAAAGAAAGTGTAGTTAAGATTAAAGCCATGTTTGAAAATTAGTTTTCCAAATCAAAATATGTTAAGCTTTTGTTTTTCCTTAAACACTCTTAGAATAAGTTTCTAAAATTTAAATCTCCCTTTCACAGGATTAAAAGGGTTTTTTAATGTGATTAGTGTAGGTATATAATATGATAAAAATTTACTTATAATTTCTACTACCAAAATATTTGCTGTAGTTTTATATACTATTTATAAAGGAGCTGAAAGAAATATAAGATGATTATAATTACATTTGAAATATAAAACTAAGGAGGCCATAATGAATACGAAATTAAGCAAGTCAGAAAACCAAATTGCAGTTTGAACAGGAAGTCTTCGGGGACAAAAGTATTGTAGTGAATCAGAAAAGGTCAAAGATACTCCTCAAGTAATTGAAATGTTCTGTGTACCAAAAAATAAACACTTTGATATGGTTGCATGACTCAGGAAGTATAAACAAGTAACACAAAACACAGCCCTAGATTAGAGAACTGCAAAACAAATATATCTTTATTATGTCTTTCAAGTTTAAAGGAAAAATTGCTATTTCTAAAGGTTTTAAAAGTAAGGGTTGTGCTATTGACACTTTAAATTTGTTGGCAATTCATAAAAGTTAAAATGATTCTGTTAAAAGCCTGGAGTGTGCTAACGAAGGGATCTGGTTACAAGAATTATTTCTTACATTGGCTATATGCAATTCGTGATATTTCACTGACATTTTGGGTTTTTTTTTAAACTGTAGGTTTTATTTTTAACTTGTTTTTTAAACTTTCTCCAGCTTTATGGTTCCATAATGTAATTTCTGAAGAGTTTGGAGTGGGAGTGAACATCTTTTGGAAGCACCTTCCATCTGAATGCTATGATAAAACAGATACCTATGGCAACAAAGATCCTACAGCAGCATCAAGAGCTGCACAAATTTTGGACAGAGCCTTGAAAACACTGGCCGAGTTACCAGAGGAATATAGGGACTTCTATGCACGACGAATGGTCGTACACATTCAAGACAAAGCCTACAGCAAGAACTTTGAGTAAATAATTAAGTGAATGCAATGCACATAAACATTTTAATAACATTTAGGTAAAATACTTTTAAGGTATAATGATATAAATTAATCTTTAAATATTTTATTAAAATAGGAAAGAAATCAGATTTATAGATTACATAAATAGGAAAGGGTGTTTGTGTGGATTCTCCTTGATGCAGATTGTTATAATTAAAGAATGCTGTGCTGGGACCACTCTTTAATGTTCAGATGCTGACCATTTAAAAGTCCAACTGAAAATGACTTAAACAATAAGAAAATATATTGAATCACAACACATGAAATTTATAGATAGAATGGGCTACAGTATTTCTGATCCAGTGATTCTGTAATGTCATCAAGAACCTTGGGAGCCCGCCTCCGTACCCCACCCCCTTTTCACCCACAACACTGGCATCATCCTAAGGCTGGCTACCCTCGTGGTCATGGGATGACTGCCAGTAGCAGTTGGAGCCTTCTGCATCTTCATTTACATGCAGTGGAAGAGTCAGGCTGGATTCTAGGGGCCTCGTCCTAATATGAGAAAGCTTCCCCAGAATTCACTTTCCATATCCTAAGGTCTCATTGCTCTAAAATAACTTAGACCTGTCTATCCCGGAGTCACTGGCAAAGGGTCTGGAATAACACTTAGGGCAGTAAGGTCTACTGGAGCTGAGAATAGAAGTGGAGGCCTCATAAGGGGTATATGGGGACAGAATGGATAAGTTTTAAAAATCATGATTCTGATAGGAAAACCACGAGTAACCAATAGTATCTATTACATTTGCTAAGAAGAATTTTATGAGGAACTTTAAAAAACTGTACAGATACCTTGGTCCCAACTTTGTAGACTGATTGAGAATGTTTGGGATATGGTGTAGGAACTTAATGGACCTCACAGGGTGTTTTCATACATAATCAGCTGAGATCAACTGGACTTGATGATAGTGACTTGGATTATTAGTTTTGTAATTAGTCCAAAACAAATGTTTAATCTGATTCTGACGTTTTTTGCCACCAGTTTGTCAGGTCTGTCCTTTTTTTGGTTTTTGTATGTTAGAAAACATTTACTTAAAGAATGAATAAATGAGATCGTAATAGTGTTGTAATTGAAGACAGTGAGCCATTGTGTGTGGATCTCTGCTATTCTTTGTTCTGTACCTAGTAATTATATTGCAGTGTCATTGAAGAGCAGATAATCTTTGCTGAACATAAATGTGCCCATCTAAAGCAATCTCTTAGAACATCAATTTGGTGCATTTTAATTAGAGAAAATAATTTTCTCTACTGAAGAGAATCCATCCATTCATGCCCTATAAATAATAGTAAATAAGAAAGGAAAAGCATATAAAACATTCTGAGTTTTCTAGGTGTCTTTGGAAACAGATAAGTTACTCAGGTCAACAAAACTGAAAAAAGTCTTGTCAGAAAAGGAATGATTATATTAGCCAAATTTAATTATCAGATTTGATCTTCGTTACCTTAGGCTAAGCGAAGAACTTCTTTAGTGATTCCTTGCCCTTCAGTAAGGAAAAAGACAAAACTCCTCTTAGTGTACACAGTATTTATGGTCAGTTTTTAACCTTTTTTTTTTCTTAGCAGTTGAACTGATAAATCTAGAGTCATGTAGAAAACTTGGAAGTATTAATAAAACAGATTACAGTTGTGCACTGAACATTCATCTTAATTGTTTAATGGTGAAGCAAACTGGATAGTCTTAGACAAAATAACATTTATCTGTGAAGCTTATATTCCTCATATTTAAAACAGAACTATCAAAATGCAGAAAGGTAGTTCAAGGGCAGGCACATAGTTGATGACTTATGCTAGTTTTTCTATTTAATTATATTCTTTTTTTGCTGAGAGATTTGAGGTAGCTTCTGTTGCAGTATTTATAATGTTTACAAAGTTAGAGAACTTTCCTTTTGGATGTTTTAAAATTATTTCCCTGGTCATAGTTTTTAATATTAGGGTCTGTTTATTTCAAATACAAAATATTTTAATCTTTTTTCCTACTGGGTTAAGACCAAATGAGATACTTGTTTTTAATGTGTAAAATATTACACAGTATATGTTAGCTGGAACTTCTTGGGAATTCTGAATCTTACTTTTTTACTGAACGAGATATTAGAAGCCATCTAACGAACCCAGATTGCAATGATTGTCTGGGCTCACATAGCTATGGGTGATAGAAACTGGGATTACAGTTGTGATCAGTAATTCTCCATTCTTTTCTCCCTGATGTGCAGCACTTCTCCAGTACATTCAAATAGATTACACAGCTTTTCTTTGGCTAGTTTGGGGGCTTGACCTGATGCAAAAAGGATTTTTTTTCCTCTGCCCACAACATTTCTCACTGCACTGCTTGCTACACAGATAAGATTCAAAATAAAAGTAATCATGAGCCAACCGCAGTGGCTCATGTCTGTAATCAATCCCAGCACTTTGGGAGGCCGAAGCGGGCGGATCACAAGATCAGGAGATTGAGACCATCCTGGCCAACATGGTGAAACCTGTCTCTATTAAAAATACAAAAATTAGCTGGGTGTGGTGGCGCATGCCTGTAATCCCAGCTACTTGGGAGGCTGAGGGAGGAGAATCACTTGAACCAGGAAGTTGGAGGTTGCCTGGCGATGGAGGGAGACTCCATCTAAAAAAGAAAAGTAATGATGAATTGCATTACACCAGAATGTAATACAAAAAAAAAAAAAAGAAATGAAATACTATGCAAAGAATGAGGAAGAGGTATATGTACAGGCATGGAAGTTTTCCAGTGTAGTTACATGAAAAAAATCAAACTGTACTGCCACTTGTGTAATAAGGTATGTGGTGTGTGAACATCTTATTTGCATATGCATATAATTATCTCTAAGGATGCAAGAAAAACTAGTGATACTGATGCCTTCAAGAAGAGGTTCAACTATGTGGGCTGATTGGAATCTGCAGTTTTATATTATTTGAATTTTTGTTCACATTACTCTTTCAAAATGCATTTTAAAAATACTTTATGCACCGAGATGGGTGGATCATCTGAACTCAGGAGTTCAAGATCAGACTGGGCAACCTGGCAAAACCCTGTCTCTACCAAAAATACAAAAAATTAGCAGAGTGTGGTGGTGCACACCAATAGTCCCAGCTACTCAGGAGGCTGATAGGAGCATCACTTGAGCCTGAGAGGTGCAGGTTGCAGTGAGCTAGAATTGTGCCACCGCACTCCAGTCTGGGTGACAGAATGAGACCCTATCTCAAAAAAAAAAAAAAAAGGAGAAAATACTATATACAGAGCTGGGAGTGGTGCTACACACTTGTAGTACCAGCTACTTGGGAGGCTGAGGCAGGAGTGCTTGAAGCCTTGAAGCCAGGAGTTCAAGTTCAGCCTTGGCAACATGGGAGACCCATCTCAAATTTAAAAACATTGCAGAGTGTAATTATTAGTGTTTCATAACATTGTTTGTCTTGGCATTTGAATGGAAATTAGAATTCTATTTGTTCAGTAATTAATTTCTAACTCACTTTGATGAAATATGAAAACAAAGGAAACAAAGTCAACAAAACTTTGTATCCTTCATCCTTTTGAACAGCAGCTATGTGAACATTTGGAAAGAACCTTAGTAAGGCGGCTTTTCTATCACCTATAAAAAGTTGCCAACAGACATCAAAGGAGTTGACAAAAAAAAAAAAAATGCAGGAAGCTGGAAGGCAGGCCTGGATGGAATTGGAACTGTGCTGCTGTGACTCCTTTCCCCAGTGCTAAAAAATAGATGTACTCAGGAGGAACTAACATAGATTGGCAGTCACCCACACATCTCTGGTGTTACCTTAGTCTTGTTTCAAGCATACAAGCCACAAGTTTTTAGGTGTCTTAAATATACCTAAGTTGTAGTCTCCTTTTAAGTTCCATTAAGCAGGATACTAAAATGACTTTTTTTGGTAACTCTGCCTGTCTCTACCCTAACTAGTTTAACAACTGCTGGATCTCTGCCTTTGTAAAGAGCAACATGAGTTTACAGATGAGATCTATCTATATCTCTTCTAATGTTTGTTTCTCTTAAAGACCTTTAAGTAAAATAAAATAAGCTCTTTTATGAATACTACCTTTTGTTTTGTATTTTACCTCATAAGTTTAATGTATTAAACACTTCTATACCAGCATGCTGGGACTTTGTATTGTTTGTCTTACATCCCCATTGCCTAGACCCTCCTTGACCTTGGTGGTTGCTTAGATAGTACATGAATGAAAAGAAAAATAGATTACACCATATCCTAACCAAGTCTTGTAAGGAGCTAAAAGACTATATATAGATCCCTGAGAATTAGCACAGAAATGGGGAAAAAGATGAACTTGTTAGAGATTTTGTTCTCTTTGAAAGCCAACAGAAGAAGTGGAAATAATGCAAATGTTTGTGGAGCAATTTAAGAGGGAAAAGATATGTATTTGTACAGAAAAGGTTCAAAGTTGCTCATTTGAAAAGATATGGAGGATAATGAAAAATGTACAGTAAGTCCTCAACATCCTGTGACTTTAAACAAAAAGACAAACAGCAGGTCCTCAAATAACGTTTTGTTCATTGTCATTTAGTTAAAAAACAATGATGAGGGGAAAAAAAAGGTTTTGTTATATTGGTTTGCTTCAAATCCCAGTTTCCAAGAACCTACTGACATGTTAAGTGATGACTTACTGTATACAAATCCTAACTAGCAGTATGGAGAGAAATGGCTTCCTTTTAAAAAATGTGAAGTTTTAACAATGCTAATAATATAAAGCACATCCAAACAAACCTCTGCAGATGATCAACTTTAATACAACTATACATTCATGCTGTGGTGGTAACAACTTTCACATTTGTAGGAAAATTTCAAATTTTCTCAACTCATGACAAAGGCACAATCCAAAAGTATACATTAACATTACAGTAACAGTTTTAAACAAATGTGGACAAAGGACCAATCTGAAGTATTAAACAGAAAACCTCTGAATATGGATCAACTTGAATATATTTTCATTCCAGAAAATATTTTTTCTTTTCAACATTGTCTCATTTTGCTATGATAGCAGTTTTGGGTGCCTGGTGAGTTACTCTTAATATCCATTCAACGTGTAAAAATTGTAGTTAAGCATTCAAATACTGAATAGCCAAAGAACCCATATTTTTAAATATGTCTGATTTTTAAAAATTATTTAAATTATTTTTAAATGAATTCTGCTAAATGTCTTACTTTTCCATTTCAGTTAATTTAAAATAAATGCTTTTTCTTCCCCTAATAGAATTCAGTACCTCAGCTATTTTACTTTAGATGCATGTGAATTTAACCAAGGATTATTAAATAAATAGAAAAAAAAAAGCCATCCTATCAGTGTTTAAAGGCAATGTAATATGTTAAATGTTAAAATCAGGCTAATTTATTTCCTTGATGGAAATTTTTGGTCTCAAAAGAAACGGCAGGTATTTAAAGAAACTGAAGCAACATAAAACAACTTTGTCTTAAAACCATTTAGAGTTGCTGTTCTGTGGTTTATAAAATTAAGTGTTAAAACACCAAAAAGCAATATTATTTTTAAGCATTTGTTAAGTAAGAATCCTTTTTGATGAGTCTCTGAGTATTTGGAATGTATTTAGAGTCACTAAAATATAATTCTGGGAAGAAACCAAGAAATTAACATTTTTATTCTATATGGCTTTATAAATCTAGGTCTTCTGGGTCATTAAGGTATTAAGCTTCAGTGTCTTTTTAGTACTAAAGCAGCAAGTTACTTTCCTGCTTAGACATTTCATGTCCTGCAAAAGCTAATTATTAATAAACAACAAACTGTTCACCTTTTATTGTAATTACCCAATTACAATGTCAATGTTGGTTGACATTAATTAGATCTTGATTTCTCAAAGTGTATTTATCTAGGTCAAGAAAAACGGGCAGAAGGAAACTTCACCCAAATTATGTAGCAGTGTTAAGCAAATTCAGTTTTTGAGCCAAAATTAAATCATTTGTGTCTTCAAACTTTCCCTTGTAACTTTTCTTATAGCAATGTAATTTTGCATTTTGGCCAAAGAGAGCTATTTTCTTTTGGCAGACAAAATCATGCTTCTGGAGAAACATTGACTTAGATCTATGGAATCTGTTTCCTTTTTAATAGAGCTCTAACAAATAGAACATTATATATTTATTTTTTCCAAGTTGATCCCGAAAAGACTGATATAATGAAAAATTTGAAATATGCTCTGTAGTACATTTTTATTCAATATACATAAATGTGCTCAACTTAAAGCAATTTTCCAAAACAACTAGGTTTTGGCCAAGATTCAAGAAACCCCAGAATGTCTTATCCAAAATAATAAAAAATCATCAATTAAAAATTAAACAATAGTGCTTAAGTGTAATTTTGTTTTGTTTTAGAGATGAAATCTCACTATGTTGCCCACGTTGGAGTAGCTAGTCACAAACACAATCATGGTGAACCACAGCCTGGGCTCAAGCAATCCTCCTGCCTTAGCCTCCTGAGTAGCTGGAACTAAAGGCACATACCACCACCTGGCTATGTTTTTTAAAACCACCTTTACACTATTGTACACTCTTGGACATTTGGAAACAAATATATATGATTCTCATGAGAAAAGTACTTGGTGGCACATGAAAGATGAGTCAATGAGTTTGCAAAACAAAAGAGGCAGGGTGCAATTATTCCAAAATGATAGAAAACACCATCATACCTTTGCTTTTGTTAGAAGGGAAATGAAAATATTTCCACTCATGTTTTGAGTGCCAAAATACCTAATTACTGTTAAAATGTCACCAAATTAGTTTAAAACATTACTCAGAAAATCAGCTATTTCCAACAATAACAATTTTAGTTACCTTTTATAAGAACTATGTTGTAACTTTCATTATATATATATTTTTATATATGTTTTATTGCACTTTAGGGTAACTTTCATTTTTTAAGGGTCTTTCATCTCCTCAGGATTATTACAAACCACTTTGTTAGATTTCAAATTAATTCTAACCCAATCCAAATTTTTACTGTTCACATTCACAAGCAAAAAATACTACTGCACATTACACTCATATTTTAGGAATGTGTGCTTCCCCCCATATCCCAAAACTGATAATGCTGCCATGAATTACATCCCATTATCTGAATTTATAACACTCAAAATGCTTATGTTCTTCCACTCAACAAGTTCATTAATATACCTGTAATCTCAAAATACCTCATGAACCCTGAAGTGATTCTCTATGGAAGGAGCTTCCTTTGTAAAATGAATTTGGCTAGTCACCTGCATGCCAAAATCCCCAAGTATCTGAACAAATTTCTTGTGCTCCTTTCCAATCCAAGATCTCATTGGATCACGTACTTGGTAAGGTGTTACATGAGTGTGAACGATAATCCCTGTTTGTGCAAATTCTTTCAAAACTTCTGGATAAGTAACCCAAGTATTGCTTCCTCCTGAGTGACCACCATCCAGCCAATACATTGTTCTTATGCTTTTGATAAAAGTATCTATGTTCTTGTCTTTCTTGGCTTCTTTCAATTCAAAAAGCAACTGATTCAAAACAACACAACCTTTACTAAATCCAATCAAAGTAAAAGATGCATCATTTAGTGAGGGTGGATAAAAACTCATGGTAGACTCATCAGATTTTTCGCAGGTCCTCTCTTTTTCTCCCTGGCAACCATTCGCAGTATGAGAAGAACTGGATCTACAGTTAGATCCTGTGGAGTCCTTATTCCAAACATTCAAACTTTTCTTTGATAAACTATTATGACTTAAATTAAAAGCATTAACTAATAACATATAAAGGTGCTTAAAAGCTCCAAAGTCAGTATTGTGTTCTGGGGCACCAAACATGTTACTTTTTACAAAATTGTCATAGCAGCTGAATTTGTGCAAATGCATTCGGGAACATTTTATCACCCAAATATAACTATTGGGGAACCGGTGGGCTAAAATGGTGGCAACATTTTCTAGACTCCAGTTTTCCCATTGATAATTCTCAGGATGACGAGTCATAATTTCATGGTAATTCTGAAAGGTAAGAAAGATGAAATAAGTATTAAATACATATTTACAGAAAATGATTTCCACAAAAGATTTTCCATTTTTATTGTGGAGAAAGGATATTACAATGACCTATGGTTAATGGCGTTAACCATAGGTTAACAAATGAAAAGTATAAATCTGTCATTACTTTCTAGTAATAAGATATTGAACAAATCACTTCTTCCGTTTAAGCTCTGAAATCTATCAGGAGAAAGGGAAATAAGATATACCTACATGGAAAACAGTAAAAAGTTTTAAAAATTTTAGATCATTCTACTATAAAGACACATGCACACATATGTTCATTGCTGCCCTGTTTACAATAGCAAAGACCTGGAACCAACCCAAATGCCCACCAATGATAGACTGGACAAAGAAAATGTGGCACATATACACCACAGAATACTAAGTAGCCATATAAAACAATGAGTTCCTGCCCTTTGTAGGCACTTGGATGAATCTGGAAACCATCATTCTCAGCAAACTGACACAATTACAGAAAACCAAAGACTGCATGTTCTCACTCATAGGCAGGTGTTGAACAATGAGAACATGTGGACTCAGGGAGAGGAGCAGCACACACTGGGGGCAGTTGGGGGGGGTCTAGGGGAGGGACATTGGGGTATGGGAAGGGTTGGGAGGGATAACATGGGGAGAAATGACGGATATAGTATGCACCTATGCAACAACTCTGCATGACCTGCACATGTACCCCAGAACCTAAAGTAAAATTTTTAAAAAAAAGAGCTATAGAAAAAGTTAAAAAAGTTTTAATTTAGAAAGATTAGTGATATATTTAACAATTTTTTTTTTAGTATATACATATAATCAACTTTCCTAACACATTAACTGAAAATATAAATTTGGTTCACTAGACTTTTTGACCAACACAGAATCTTAAAATATTTCCCTAAGTTGCCATTCTATACCCTTCCTCTTTGGATTCCTCTAGCAATCTGAACAGTATGTTCAATTTCAAATTTAGCATTATATACAAAGCTGCAATGAACATTATAGAAAACTCTGTACAGATCTATGATTATATCCTTAAATTC